ATATATGATAGGCCTCTACCCTTATATCTCATTTTGACTCAATTCAACCTTGAGTACCTATCATTTGTACCACCTACATAAAGGCAATGCAGAATACAGCAACAAGGAAAGGATAAGTACTGCCCTATGGAATGTTTGCAGATATATTCACATATAAAGAATACGAAATGTCAGAGGAGATATAAAGTGCTTTCTGAGCTCCATAGAGTAAATCATATCAACAGGCTTGGTGAAATATTAAAAAAATTATAAAAGCTATCATGAAAAAATTACTTGAGATGAGCCTTCAAGTAAACATGACAATGATACTAATTGTTAACTGAAATTTACTGAGCAATAAAAACATACCATGTACTATGTTTGATGTTTTTTCATAAATTACAAATATTTAGCCTCATGTTACAGATAAGGACAATGAGGTTTGGACAGTGATTTGTCCAATGTCAAAGAGCTGGTCACAGGAATGAGATCTCAACTGAGGTCAGCCTATTCCCAAAGTCCACACCTTAACAAGTGCAAGAGGAGAGAAGAGTAGACTGGAAGAACAGCTGAGAAGGAAGAACAGTAGTGGTAAAGGTAAGATCAGAGAGGAAGAACCAGGGCAGTAAAACCCACGGAAACTGGCTCATCATTTAACCCAGCAGGCCCCTTCTCAGGAGATATTCTGGGGGACAGCAGCAGAAATATGGTCATACACTCCACTGTCAAAGTCAAGTAGTGAAAAAGCTTCATCTTACGCTCTTTAGAAAAAACATAATAGAAAGCCAGTGTCCTCATAATGTTTAATATGTATAAGAGCATATATATACTCCCACCTAATCCCATTGAGATTTTTAAAATAGGCATTTTTCACCATCTAAACAGTTAAGCTCTAGCCAATACAACCTGTCATCATCAAGATTTAAGGATTTGCTAACCAATTGGACTAACCATATAACCATTTTGGAGGCAATGTTCACACAGCACACAAATCAACAACAGAACCAAATCAAAAGTCAGAAACTTTCTGACTTTTCTGACAGTAGCTACAACTATCCTTATATTTTTATTCTAGGGTAGCATATTGCTTGGGTTGTGATTAAAGAAACATGCAGAGATACCATGATGGAAAATTGCACCCTCTAATTATAAATTATAGGGTTATAAATTCACTCCACCATTTTCTTTTCTGTACATGACATCTTTCACATTCTCATCTCTAGTTCCAATTTCTTCTCCAAGATCCTAATTCTCATTTAGATACATGTGATAGACATTACTATGGCTTACCAATGTCTCCTTGAGCACAAAAGCCTTGCACTACCCTGCATTAGGTAGGACCACGTGACTCGTTCTGGCCAATGAAATGAGGGCAATGATGAGCATCTCTCCATCACTGAGTGGGGGAAGTCCCTGAGCAGTGCTCCCATGATTCTTCCCCTCCTGCTGCTAGAGATAACAGAGGATGGAGCCACAAGATTGATGGAGCCTGAGGCTGCAGGAAGGACTGCTGACCTAAAGTATCTCCCACAGTTACAGAGAACTTCAAGAGCAAGAAATACGCTTGTGTTGTGCTAATCTCCTGTGATGTGGGGTTGTTTGCTACCACACCCAAACTTAGTGACTACCCCAAGGATAGCACACCACCACCCACAATCACATTCTCCACCTTCTTCCACCTAAATACAGAGAAGTCTACAAACCTTCGATTTTGGTTAACCCCAGAATCTCAGATTCTACCCCTTACCATTGCACGCCAAGCCCAGGAAACAAATGCACAGGAGCAGTTTCATAAACTTTAACTGATGATGATGAAAGTCTTAAGCAAAAGTCAAATAACTGCCGGGCGCGGTGGCTCAAGCCTGTAATCCCAGCACTTTGGGAGGCCGAGGCGGGTGGATCACGAGGTCAAGAGATCGAGACCATCCTGGTCAACATGGTGAAACCCCATCTCTACTAAAACTACAAAACATTAGCTGGGCGTGGTGGTGCGTGCCTGTAATCCCAGCTACTCAGGAGGCTGAGGCAGGAGAATTGCCTGAACCCAGGAGGCGGAGGCTGCGGTGAGCCGAGATCGCGCCATTGCACTCCAGCCTGGGTAACAAGAGCGAAACTCCGTCTCCAAAAAAAAAAAAAAAAAAGTCAAATAACTTTTAATAAGTTAGACTTTTTAAAAGTGATGGAAAATGCAGACCATCAGAAAAACACGTATTTTGGGGGAAAAAGCTCAACTATGAAGGCTGATGTATTCTTAGATATATATAACTTTGAAAACTTTTTCTTACTATAAGAAACTAACGTAAGGCCAGGCATGGTGGCTCATGCCTATAATCCCAGCACTTTGGGAGGCCAAGGCGGGCAGATCACCTGAGGTCAGGGCTTGGAGACCAATCTGACCAACATGGAAAAACCCTGACTCTACCAAAAACACAAAATTAGCTCGGTGTGCCACCACACGCCTGTAGTCCCAGCTACTCGGTTGGCTGAGGCAGGAGAATTGCTTGAACCCAGGAGGCAGAGGTTACAGTAAGCTAAGATCATGCCACTGTACTCCAGCCTGGGTAACGAGAGTGAAACTCCATCTGAATTTAAAAAAAAAAAAAAAGAAACTGATGTAATTAGGCCGGGCACGGAGGCTCACACTTGTAATTCCAGCAGTTTGGGTGGCAGGTGGATCACGTGAGGTCAGGAGTTCGGGGCCAGCCTGGCCAACATGGTGAAACTCCATCTGTACTAAAAATACAAAAATTAAATTAGCCGTGCATGGTGGCAGGTGCCTGTAATCCCAGCTACCCAGGAGGCTGAGGCAGGACAACTGCTTGAGCCCAGGAGGCAGAGATCGCCATTGCATTCCAGCCAGGGAAACCAACAAACAGACAAAGAGAGGAGGGAAGGGAAGGGAAGGGAAGAGAAGAGAAGAGAAGAGATGGGAGGGGAGGGGAGGGGAGGGGAGGGGAGGAGGAAACAAGAGGGGGAAAGAGAGAGAGAAAGAAAGAAAAGAAAGAGAGAGAGAAAAGGAAAGAAAGAAGAGAAGGAAAGAAAGAAAGAAGGAAAAAGTAAAAAAAAAAGAAGGAAACAAACTCATGTAATTAGAAAAATCTCAATGAAAGAAAGAAACTCATGTAGTCTCAATTCTCACCCATGCTACAAAAATGTCACACCAACTCTGAAGACACAAGATCATAAAACAGGTGTGTGTGTGTGTGTGTGTGTGTGTGTGTGTGTGTGTGTGTGTGTGTGTGTATATGTATGCTTACTTCTTTTAAGGGTCATACCACCACTACTGAGAACATACTGGAAACTGATACTTTTCACCATTATCACCTGCAATTTTAAAAATTAAAAGTGTAAACCCAAAGAATTACAACAAATATTCAAAAGTTCACCTCAAAGGTAATTTATCACCATTTTTCCCCACCCCTTCTTGAAATGCTGGCTCAGAGAACTGCTATAAAAGAAAATATATTGTGGTTTCATTAAACTTTCTAGCTTAGAGATAGATGCTGCAAACTTCATTATCAGTTCCTGGATCACACAAGCTACACACACACATATCAAGGCACCTACTCCCATTAGTTAAGCAAACTATCAAACTTTGTTTTTTTTTTTTGGTTTTTTTTTTTTGGGGGGGGACGAGTCTCTCTCTGTCGTCCAGGCTGGAGTACAGCGGCGTGATCTCAGCTCACTGCAACCTCCACCTCCTGGGTTCAAGCGATTCTCCTGCCTCAGCCTCCCTAGGAACAGGGACCACAGGCAACTGCCACCATGCCCAGCTACTTTTTATATTTTTAGTAGAGATGAGGTTTCGCCATGTCAGCCAGGCTGGTCTCAACTTGTGACCTCAACTGATCCTCTCACCTCTGCCTCCCTAAGTGATGGGATTACAGATGTGAGCCACCACGCCCTGCCTCAAACTTTGAATAACAGATTTAAAATCTGAACTTGGGAAAATCTTCAATCTCCTCTTTGTCTTTTCTTTAGCATTCCCATAGAAAACAATCTACACAAATAATATACAATTTGATTATAATTTCACTTGTCTTTCTCTGAAATAAAGCAAAAAACTATGATCAAAATGTCGATGGTGAGTAGGCATTATACAGTTACAAAAAGAAAGTATAACTTATTAGACCATTTTCTCTATTTACCTAATCACAATGCAAAAACTGAAACTTCAGTTCATCTAAATCCAACTTTAAAATCTTGCACTCTCAATAATCTAGGGCAAAAAAAGTATTAAGTAGCTACAAATCTAGACAATAAAAAATATTTTAACTTAGATTCACATAAAAGGCAAAGAATGACTGTTATCCTTCCCACTCCACCTATCTCATCTCAAGAGTGTTACTAAATATGGGTGTATTGCTCAACTTCCCTGCTCCACATAAGTATACACTGCAATTGGAGTGACTGTTCTTCATTTCAAACACATGAGTCAAAAGGAAGTAGTATTAATTATTCATTGTTCAGCACACATTCATCAGGTACTCACCACATATGTGCACCTGTTTATAAGGGTCATTTCTGTTCTAGAGTTTACCAGAGTTCACCAATCCTGTGAACAGATAGGCGAGGGGTTCAGCCTTCCCCACCATGCTTTGTGCCTTCAACCTGTAAACCAGTGAGTTCTGAGTAATATTTGGTGTTAGAAAGTATTCCTGCCTTAAAGATGGGACTTTGTATCTGCATCTGCCTTCCAATTTATTATCACATTTTAATTTTACTTAGTTGTGAATAGCAAATATATTGTCTACTTCATAAAGCATCATCAACACCCTGTCTTGCAACTGAGTAGCTCATGAGAGGAAATCTGTACTAGTCACTGTGCAAGAGTGGAAAATAACCTATGGGTGTAGCTGTGTGCAAACACCTCCTCTTTCTGCACAGTGCATTCACGTAGAAATTGCTATGCCTGGTTCTCAAATTAAATTCTGACACAAACACTCACTGGTTCTCTTATTAAGTAAGTCTGTACCATAATCAGGGTGTAGGTAAGGCGCTGGGAAGGGAGAACGGATGAGAGTGGTGATAGTTAACTGCCCCACTCGATCAGTTACTTTCAAAACTGACTTTTTGATCACTATTCATTTAGCTGCAGAGAAAGAATGCAACATCTCAGTTGAAACTAAGATCCAAAAGGAACCTGAATGTCACCTTTAAAAAAATATCTCAGCCAGTCATCCAGAACCTTTGTTTCTCTCACTTTAGAGGTGAAGGAAGAAAGTTTGAGTCCTAAATTGAAGACCTTCCTTTTACCTTCCTTTTGCAGAAACAAAAGCAGCTTGTCAGGCAAAGGCTATCTGAATACCTTGTGCTCAGTAAACAGACCAGACGAATATATTCGTTCAGTACAGTGTTCGCATAAGGAAGCTACTGAAACTTACTGTTCTTGAGAATGTTTCCTCCCCACCTCGCCTGCAGGGAAAAAGCACGAGTTCCTCCCCAACCTTAAGTACCAATCAACAAACTCTCCTGAAAGAAGCTGGCTGTTCTGACTCACCACTCCACATCACCTGGGCCAAATCTCCTGACCCTGTGCTCCTGGGAAAATTACTCAACCTCTCTGAGCCATCTGAGAAATTTCAGTTAAACGTCTAAAGAGGGCTCACTGGAAGCCAAGATCACACCATTGCACTCCAGCCTGGGCAACAAGAGCGAAATTCCATCTCATAAAAAAAGGGGGCTCACTGGTATTACCTGATAATTGTTTAGAGCATGCATCAAAGAGCACCAAGTTGCAAAGAAGAACGCATTCCCTGTTCCATGACTAACCTTAACCCAGGCATTCATAATTTAAAATGTGTTCATAGCATAGCACTGTAAACTTCAGGTAAAGGTCACATTTCAGACCTTTTTTTAAAACAGTAAATTATAATGGTAAGTTACACATGAAGACAAGTGTCCTTACAAGACACATCCTTTCAGGACCGATACTGCCTAAGGGTCCTCCGATCATCCTCTCCCTCCTGGTTTTCTTGTAAATGTTCCTCTGGTTTGGTATATCTCTTTCTGGTCCTTTTTTTCTAGGCATTTATACATGTATCTTTGAAACCATAGAAAAGATAAAGCATAAGAGTTAGACTCCAGGATGGCCATTATGGAAGAGAATCTGCCTCTGTCAATACTTAGTTGTATTAAGTACATAAATACCCCATGATCCATTCATCCTGTTGCTGGCTGCATCTCCCAGTGACTCCTCCCACAGACCCAAGAGTACAGGTACACAGATGTTCCCCACAGTGCTGTGTGTGGGGACTGGGAGTTGCAAGAAGAGATAAGGAAACCCATGGTGACAGCAAATGTCTAGATACACACAGCAAGGTAGATGGATGGATTAATCATAAGAATTCAGCCCTGAATTTAAAAAGTGAGAAATAGGAAGTGCTAGAGCACAAAACTATTTGTGTGGATTTAAAAATACACAAATCTCATCTGCCATAATAACCACATACCTCAAATGATTGCCATGAAATAGTGTAAAACATGAAAACAGTCCCTGTCATATGTTAAGCACTTAGTAAATATTCACTATTTTTAGATTAAAAGATACTTATAGTATGCTATAAACTTTCTACTACAAAACTTCATTTATCATATCATCCTTTCTCCTAAAGTGTTTTCCCATTAAAAAATATAGAGGACCCATCCCAGTGCAGTGGCTCATGCCTGTAATTCCAGCACTTTGGGAGGCTGAGGAGGGAGGATCACCTGAGGTCGGGAGTTCAGGACCAACTTGACCAACATGGGGAAACCCTATCTCTATTAAAAATACAAAATTAGCCAGGCGTGGTGGC